GACGCGCCGGGCCCGGCTCGCAGCTGCCGGCTCCCGGTCGCCGCTCCGGGCGGGCTTCTTTCCCGGGACTACTTGGGAACGGAGCCACCTCTTCGTCCCTTTCTGGAAACCAGGAGGTGAAAACTCGCCCCTGCGTTAGCAGCCCCGCGGCCTTTCGGGGGCCCGTCTAGGTTTCGTCCTGGTCCACACAGCCCTAACTTCCCTTGGGTTTTCCTCCATTCCCTCGCAGCTCTTTTTTGGACAGCCCCCCCCCGCCCCCCCACCGTTTCTTCTCGTTCCCTCCCTGCGTTTCCCAGTCTTCACTACTTGTAATTCATTCCGCAGCCCTTTCTCTGTCATCCTTTCTGATTTCTTTCGTCTGGGGGTTCTCGTCCGACCCTTTGCTCTTCACCACCCTCCCTGGTCTCTTCCACCCTTTCCCCTTCACTCTGATTTCTTTTCCCTGCTTGGCTGAAATACGTAAATAAAACATGTCCTCTGGAAGTCAGAATCTAGGTATCCAGTTACTTCTTATCTTCCAGGGGTGGTTTCCTTCCTGACTGTGCTATCACTTCTCCAGGTTGTGATTTTCTTGTACCAAATGAAAATGTTATCGAGGAATTAAGATGAAGACTTTAGTTTATGCTAGACGTATTTTGGGTGCTTCAACTAGACTATAAGTTACTTAAAGGCAAGGTTCATATCCTGCTCACATTCTCAGGCCCTAGCATCTTACATATATAGATAGGTATTCGATGTTAGAATTAGTAGATTGAATTAGCTAAGAAAAGATAGTATTGCATTCAATATGTAATATTGTACATTTATTTAAAGAAAGATTTTGAAGTTTCAAAATTAAAATGATTTACTACTGTAAAAACTAGAGAGCCAAGAATTTACTTGCTCATTTGTAAAATTCATTCAGAAAAAAACCGGCAAAATTATCATTTTATAGGAAAGTTATAAATAACAACTGGCTTTAAGGTCTATGGCTCAGCTAGCTATTTGGCATTTATCAACTAATCTTTCTAGTCAATACAGTTTCTTCCTCATTTAATATGGGGGTTTATCTAAAAAAATCTGTTAGATCCTTTTTTTACCCTAAGATTCTATCACTATATTAATGATAATATTTATTAAGATGAATACTTCCTTATCAGTTACTAAGATATTCTCCTTAGAAATAACCTTTGTTATATATTTTTTGAAATCACCATCAATAAATGTTATCTATTTTTATTACAGACCAATGTACCTAACTGGCTTTGCTACCTTTAACAGTTATTTCCTAATAAAAGAGAAAGCCAGCAATTTTTGTTAGCTCATATATGTATTTTAACTTCCTAACCAAAAATTAAATTATTGACGTGAATTTGAAAGGAGTTTGATTATAGTAGGTTAATCTGATCTTTTCTGGACATAAGTATATAAATGTGGTTTCCTAATTTCCGTGAGGGAATTCAGCTTTCCTTTCTCTCTGCCAGAAGGTAGGAAAATAGCATTTACTGACTGTCTGCTGTATAGAAGTCACATTAAGTTTTTTCATACATTGGAAGTAATTATCATACCTGTTTGTGGCATGTCTGGAGTCAACAGTGCAAAATAACTGCACTGCAGACATTTAGAAAGCTTAATTTTAAGCTTAATATGGGCTATCACTAAATAATAGGTGACAAATCACAGGATTGAGAATCATGGTTTTAGTAGCTAGGTCTACCTAGATTGCTGTTCAACTTTTACTTTTGTTAACCTATGGCAAAGCAAAATACAGATTATCTCAGCCTTTTGTAGAAATGCTGTCACCAAATGTAGTTTTTCGCTTTCAGTCTTGGTATAGATGTTTAATTAGGAAACTGCCTTGTGTATATATTTTCTTATCTTTTGCAACTTAATGATTAATGTTATTTAAAGTGTTAGTGTATCTTTTATGCATTAGATTGGCATACATTTCTGCAGAGTTTAGCTCCTAAAGAAAATTGTCTGTGAAGAAAATTATGTAAACTTTCCTTACAAAATAAAAGCCACATAACTGTATCTTTTTCTTTAGCTTAGCAACTGAAATTGATGATCTTATCCCCGGAAAAGTCCATTGCTGTCCAGTAGATTCCAACTCATAGCTACTCTAAAGGACAGAGTAAATCTCTACCCCTACAATTTCCAAGGCTGTAAATCTTGAGAATAGCTGGTATGCTGATCTTTCTGTTCGCATTCAAGTGCTTTACCATTGCCCCACTAGGGATCATCTCTGATTTCTGCAAATGCTTCTACTGTTAGATGAACACAGCCCCAATTTTTTTTTCCACAGCCCAAATTTTGTGTCATGTTGAAATGTAATAAAGAGATGTATTAAGTTCTTCTGGGAAGTAGAAGGAAAGGAATCTGAAAAATAATCTGCTAACCTATCTTGTTACCTCTTATTTTTGAAAATGACACTCTCCGTTGAAGTTGGATGAAAGGGTATTGTGTGGTTTGTAGTTCACACTAAGCATATGTTGCATCCTGGTATATGTGGGTGTGTTGTCATTGCAGAATTGCTGTTCTTAATTGCTTTGCTGTCTAGGCTATGATAGACCTGATGCCTTTTGTCACAAAATCACAATTTCATTTGTATATGATATGCAGACAATCATATCCTAGTCAGCTATAGTTATTTCATCTTATATTCTAAGAAAAAGTCATTTTCTTTGATAAAACTGACTTGTGACCGTCCTACCAGCAAGCTACTCAGCAGTTCTTGTATGCCCTGCTATTGTCTATTCTTCACATGTGTCCATGAGACAGTTGTGAAAATTCACCTCAGCACCTTGATAATCTGGTTGTAGTCCATGTTTGGTTCTTAGTGGTCTTGCTCTGGTTCTTAATGTGTGACATATATAACCATCCAAGCAACTGCCATTGAGTACATTCTGAAGCAAAGTGACCCTACAGGACAAGGTAGGACTTGTTCCCTAGGGTTTCTGAGGCAGTGAGTCTTCACAGGAGGAGACAGCTTCATCTTTCTCCCATGCAACTTGTATAGATCAAGCAGTACTGTGTATCTGATGACTGCAGTAGATGAGAGCTGAGCCTTCTGAATATACTATATGGTAAGTTAGGCAGCAGAATTTGATACCAAGTTGGTACTGTTGTGCTTTTTTAGCCCAGTTTTCTATCGTTACGTTTGTACACTACTGTAAAATGTACTGCTTGAGTAGATTTCATTGAATTTTTACAAAATCATTTTATTGGCTGGTCTTATAACATTCTATACCTTAATTGTATTGAGCATGTTTGTACATATCATCATTTCCAAATGATTTCCAAAACATTTTCTACTTGAGCCCTTAGTATAAGGTCCTTTTTACCCCACTTTCCCCCACCCTCCCATCTTCGTGAATCCTTGATCAATTATATATTGTTATTATTATTTCATAATCTTACACTGTCCACTGTCTCCCTTCACCCAGATTTCTGTTATTTCCTTCAGGGGTAGGACTATATATCTAACCTGGTGATGGGTTTCTCCTTTCTCCCCCTTCCCTATTCTGACCATCCCCCTACCCTCATGATGTCACTACTCACACTACTGTTCCTGAGGGGGTTATCTGTCCTGAATTCCATGTGACGAGAGCTCTTATTTGTACCAATGTGTGTTCTCCCATCTAGCCAATTTGTAAGGTAGAACTGGGTCATGGTAGTCGGTGGGTAGGGGGTGGGGGAAAGAATCATTCAGGAACTAGAGGAATGATATGTGTTCTGTTGGTGCTATACTGCACCTTGGTTGAATCATCTCTTCCTTATAACCCTTCTGTAGGGGGAATATCCAATTGTCTACAGATGGGCTTTGGGTCTCCACTCCAAACCCCCTCGTTCGCACCAATATAGTTATTTGTTTTGGATCTTTTGATACCCGATCCCATCAACACCTCATGATCACGCAGGTTGGTGTGCTTCTTCCATATGGGCCTATTTGCTTTCCCGCTAAATGGCTGCTTGTTTAACTTCAAGCCTTTAAGACCCAGATGCTATATCTTTTGATGACCTGGCACCATCCACTCTCTTCACCAAATTGGCTTATGCACCCATTTTGTCTTCTGTGTCATTGATCATTTTTTGATGGCGCACAATTAAACGCTAAAATACTAGTGCCTAATACGAACTCCGTGAATATTTGAATAAAATAAGGTGGACTGTTCACCACTGATTTCATTTGGTGCTTCCTCTCAAAGGATTAAAAACATTTTAGCCTGACAGCTTTCAAGTTCCTATGAGGCTTCTTGATACACCGAGCTGATTGTATTGGCCTCATTATCTCTTGTGTGCCTATAGCAATATTTCTTGAAGACACATAAAATGTCCCCCTCCTTAACTACCTATTTTTCCAGCTGCTACTTTTGATTGCTTTCTCTATCTGATGTGTTTTTCTCTTCATCATATGCCACCATACTGTAATTATTCTGGGGAACATGTATTTGCTGAGGCCACAAGTTCATTAGTATTATGAACATCTTATAATTACATTTAACTTATATTAAAAAATGAAAATGAAGCTATATATAAGGAAGTTAAAAGAATTGGTGGAAAATGGAATTAAAAGATAATGGAACTTTTCTGTGGCTTTTTTTCAATGCCCTTTTGTGTAATGTACATGCTCAGGTAAAGTAGTCCCCAACTAATTGCAATTTTAAATCTCACATTCTCCTTAAAATTATTATTGTTTGAAAAGAATGACTATTGGAATTCTGTTGCCATGGATTGTGATGATTCTTGTAGCTGAACAGGTAGAAGAGTTTTCAAGATAGTTAAACTAGGTCTGATTCAGTCTTAGGCAGTTGTGGAATAGGATGTTGGTAAGGTATTTGCTTCGGGGCTGCTTTTCTGAGAGTGGTGATGGATTCATGTCCAGTCACATTCTTACCCATCCTGTGTGTGACTTTTGGCATGTCTTTTGAGGCAACTAGCCAGGATTCCTGGTAGAAGCTAAAGCTTTGGAACAAAATTAAGCTAACAGGCAGAACCTTCAACGTTGGCTTTATTATTAACATTCTATCATATATTTATACTAATCTTGGGTCTATATCATGGTCCTGTTATTCCAGGATCCTGAAAGTAGAAGATTTAACTTCTGTTAGACAAGAGTGGTTATTATTGTGAACTAAACCATAATTATTATTGAAGTTTTTCAGAAAGAATACATGAAGAGGTTAATTATTATTAAAAGTCATTCAAATTAATACAGAAGCTAAGATTGGACACTATACTTTTCCTGCATTTCTCCTTACGGTTTTATGACTTGTCTTATAATCGTCTAGATCAGTGCTTTTTAACATGTGATTATCAAAGTAGAAGCATCAGGATTCCTTAAAAATATTATAAAAATCAGTTCTTGAGTACTGCTTTAGATCTAACTGATTAAAATATTTTGAGAGGGTGTCCTAACAGTTTGTATTTTCAGAAGCCTTGCAGGTGACCCTGATGCCTGCTGCAGTTTGAGATCTGTAGTTGAGGGCTTCTAACTCCATTAACTTTAGCTGAAATGGAATAAATTATGGCAATAAGTGAGTGAATAGAGTATGTTAGAGCTGTAATCAGCCTATTGCTTGGTAATATTTTTGAAAAAATATTGACCAAAGTAGTGGAAGATAAATGTTATTTCCTATGGATTTTTACTTTATCTGATGTTTAGGAAGTTTCTTGAGACTTTTTTTTAAAATTTAAATTTATGTTACTTTATTTGAATTTTAGGAAATTTCTTGAGACCTTTTTTAAAAAAATCTACACTTAAGTTATTTACACTGATCAAGAATACATTTTTTTTGAGTCTTAAAAATGGAATCTTGAGGAGATACATGAGTGGTAATTTATATTTAGAAAAATAAAGTGTAGAAAAAGAATTAAAAATCCAGGAGGTCATCACCTGAGTTAGTAATGCAGGGATTATGCCCAAGGGAAGGAAATAAACTGGATGCAGATGTCCAGAAAGCAGTAAGTTTACTTTGGAAAACTGCCAGATTACTCCTATTGTATTTGAAATCGTCAGGGGCATAGGCTACATGTGACACAGGATTTGACCAGTGGAAATCCTCCAGATTTTAGTGTGGAATATTTTTCCTTTTTTAAAGGAAATTGGATTTGGATATCTAAAGCACTTGTAATGTTTGTGCTTCCTGCAAGATTTAGCCAAATTGATGAAGAAGATTAAAAAGTTAGAGAGGTAATAGGCCAGAATAAGGATTGATTTTAGTTCTTTTTAGCAGCACCTTCTTTTCTATGGGACACCATTAAAAACAGAACTATTGGGGGCAGGTGGGCCTGTGGAGTGTGTGTGTGTGTGTGTGTGTGTGTGTGTGTGTGTGTGTGAGAGAGAGAGAGAGAGAGAGAGAGAGAGAAAGAGAAATTGACAAAAGATTATTAAAGGTGCTTCCTAGTTCTTCCTCTGGCCAAGTATATAGAAACCATGACAGTAATTGCTAGTGAATTTTCTTTTTCAGAGATTCTTTTGCAAATATTGATGTACTTGATTCTTGGATTCTTTAAATACTTTTTAGCCTTATGAAATAAGGCAGGTACTAATTTAAATAAAATAAAAACTAACTTTAATATATTTTAATGATTTTATTTAAGAACGTGCAAATCCTGATATTTGGAAAACTTTTCCTTGATTTTTTTTTTGAAGTTAGGATGTAGGGTTAGCATAATATAACAAAATTCAAACCAGCATTAATTTATAACGAGAAAACTTTATTCCCCCACCCCCACATGAAAGTCCAGAGATAGTCAGTGCACACTTGGCATGGTGGGCATGAAGTGTCAGAGAAACAGTCGTTCTCATTACTGCCTCCCAGTCCCAAGGTTACCTCATGAACCATCATGGTTGTTGAGCTTTGCGTCATTGTGCATCTTTATTCCAGTAATAGGAAGGAAGAAGAGAAGGGCGCCCCCCCCCCCCCTTTAAACCACTCTTTCTTGAAGTAGGAGATACTGTCCCCTGAGGGGCACTGGACCGATGGAGTAAGGGGGCCTACAAAAGTAGGTACCTACACTTTATTGTTGTGGATTATGGAGCTTAAAAGTCTTTAATTGCCAGGGGGCACTGAGTAATTTTCTTTTCGGAAAAGGAGGCAGTAGGCCATCAACGTTTGTGAACCTATGCTTTATATTATATATATAAATATCTATGTATAATTAATTAATTAATTAAAAAATTTTCCCCAGAAGTCATATACTATTTTGTAGCTTACATCTAGTTGACCAGACTGTGGTCCCATGGCTATACCTAGCAAGAAGGAAGACTAGGATATTAGGTTTAATACAGGAGTAGGAGCCTTACCTTGAAGAAGCTCTCATGGTGCTGTTGGGTAAGCATCAGACGGCTAAATGCAAGGTTGGTGGTCCAACCAACGTTGTAATGGAGAAAGATGAGGCAGCCTCTGCATCCACCTGTATGGGCTCATCAGGAGTGGGAAGCAGCTCAGTGGCAGCTGGTTATTTGGTTGGTCATAAAGGAATAAGGAGAATGGATGTTGACGCCTGCTGCTTCTCATCAGCGACTTCTCCTTTGCATTACTAAAAGAAAAATAAAACCCAGACATTTTCCAGTTAAAATCTGTAACTTTACTGAAGTCAGAGGCATTCGTATGTTTTAAAAATTAAATGAAATAAAGAAAAGCAGAGGGAATTTAAAAAGTTCATGGAAAAATGGAGTGAAAAGATAATAGAATTTTCCCACCAAGTTTTTGAAGCCCCCTAGTAGATAAGAAGGAGAAAGAGGGGTTTTCTACTCCCATAAAGAGTTATGGAAACTCACAAACACAGTTCTACCGTGTCTGCTTCAGTATGGATTCACCCTGTGCGCGGTTCTACTCAGCCAGGAGGGATAATCTGTCATACCTTAAATTCTGAGGTTTTTTTAAACCTTTTTTATTGGTACGCATTTAACCAAACAAACTGAAAAACCCCAATGGTGATCAAGTCCATTCTGACTCATACTGAACCTAATTTAGGACCATAAAATGAAAGTAACATTTTATAATACTGTATCATTAAGTAGAGGACAAATGGAAAGCAATTTCATATCTTAATTTTTGAGAGTACTCAAGGCATTTGCATGGTCGTGCAGTCGTGAGAGGATGAGGCTTACTCAGCATATTCCTCTTCACTGTAATGGACTATTATTTCTAAGCCAAGTATCCATGTAGTCTCTTTCCCCCAGAATATTGTATCAGGTTTTACTTAGATATTTTCTTTCCTTTCAGTTCTAAGGGTAAGACCACCATAAGAGAAACAAAGGTGGACATTTTAGACCAGGCTGGTGTATAAAAGCTTTTTTTTTTTTTTAATGAATGCTTTGGTCAATATTTTATATAGCTTTGGCCTAAAATTGTCATTGAAAATTGGGAGAAAATAGATTCTTACCTATTCTTGTGTCATCTAGCATTTAAGTTAGATAGTAATACTCTAACCCTATACTTTCAAACATACATAGTTAAGTCATATGGGAGTGAGTAACGAGTGGCTTCTTCTGCATTGATACAGCTTTTATTCATTGTTGCATAGGACTTAGCATGAGTTACAAATATATCAATTCCCCCTGGCAACAAAATTGCCTGAAGGGTAGCAGTGAGTGAGTATAGTTGCTTAAGCAGACTTTTGTTGGAGGTTGTGCACAAGCAAAATAAGTAATAACTTTGCCTAGTGAAGGCATAGTAATATATAGGCACTAATTTTCTTGAGTTGGACCAAGATGCCCAGAAAAGCTTAAAAATAGAAATGTATTGAGGTAGAGATATCCTTTGTTACTGATATTGGACATATTCTGCCTTTATAACCAAAGACAGAACTTAAAAATGGAAAAACTTAAAATTAATATCATTTAAAGATTATTATCAGCACTACAGGGATACTTCAAAAAGTTCTAGGAAAAATGGAGTGAAAAGGTAATGGAAATTTTTTATGAACTTACTGAAGTCCACTCGTATGATGGACCTGTATTAGAGCTTTGGTTTATAAGTGATAGAATAAAATAATAGTAGTGGCATTAATAATAATAATCATAATGTACATAATGCCACTTAGTATTTATTAACTGCTCATTACATTCTGACTTGGTATAGTGTTTAGTCTCTTATATGTGTTTGCTCTTCCACTCCATGCAAGCAACCATATAGACAGTATTATTGCTTCTGTTTTACAGGTGAGGAAGTGGAAGATTAGAGAAAGCCATTTTCTGTTTAAGCTCGTTTGTCTGACCAAGACTCTAAGCCAGTATGTTGTAACAATTGATCATGCTCAAAGATCTGGCACTTCCACGTTCAGGCTGAGACTGATCCATTAAGAGGGTTGGTAGGTGGATAGGGCAGTAGTACCAAAAGCATGAGTTCCCTTGATGAGCTGCCCTACTGACAGGGATAATACACAATACCTTAGCGAGTTGAGCAAGCCTGTATTTGGAGATAATTTTTGTTTGCCCTGAATGTTTTATTCTAATAGAAGGTGAGATTTTTTTTTCTTTGATGATTAGGAGGGCATTGTCAGCCAAAAGTATAGTTTTACATTTTGATGAACAGGCCATTTTTGAAGCAAGTAAATATAAAAACATGAAGCAAATGCCAGCCCCTCTCTGCAGGCTTTAAAGAATACTTGAGAATAATTTATTACAGAATTCCCTAAATATCTGAATTCCCCTAAGTTCCTTTGTGTTTGTTTACAGTTAATGTGTTAAGAGCCATTGACATTTGAAGATCATCAGAACTGAAGATAAAACATCTCAAAAATTATAATGTAAGTGAATGGGAAAATTAAAATTAAAAATAGATAAAAATTATTATCGCCAGCAGTAATTCTGGGACTTATAAACTATCCCAAATCCTTTGTTCAGTTCTACCTGGGAGAAGTCACTAAGCTTTTATTCATCTGGTTATTTTCCATTAGACTTATTTTGGCTCCCCTGTCCTTTTTTCCCCACCCTGTTTCCTCCTGAGTGATTGTACAGCTTGGCTTGGGCAGAAAGTGACAAGTGCTTATGTTATTTTAAAATATGTATGTGTGCAGAGACTGGGGTCTTCTTTTTCCAGCAGTTGATGTACATTATGTATTTGACCCAGTTTTAATTTTACTCCCATTTTGTATGTTGCTTAATAAAAAATGTGACCAGTTAGTTAGGCTCTTACCCTTGTGCCCTCCCAGTCTATTTCCTTTCTTCTTTCTTCCTACTTCGCCCCCATCTGTAAATCCTTATTTAGCATCTACTATGCCCTGCACACTATCCTGTATTCTAAATTTCTAAGGTCTTGGTCCCGAAGCCCAATATAACATCGTTATATACTGTAGGAGGTCATTAGACATCCAGTTAGTGTTTTTTACAGGTGATTGAGAACACTTGTACTCCAGTCACCTGTAGTGCTTGGTGAAAATTTACCTTCCGAGGCCCTAGCTCAGATATTCTGAATCACTGGGCGCGGGCCCAAGAATCCGATCTGCACTTAAAATTTGAGTCACAGATCCAAAGGCTTTTTAGATTTCAGTTCCACTCTGTAAGTTTGCAGATGAGGCAGTAGGCTTAGAGAAGTTCGGTAACTGACCCAAGGGAACAACACTTGATAACACAAGTTGTTTTGGTACCCTCAGGGTCATAGCACTGTGGAAGGCCAGAACCGCACTCCCGATCCCTGGTTCTGTGCCGCACTCGGTTAGGGTTGTGGTTGTTAGGACAAACAGCGTCACTGTGTTTCATGTCTATAGAACCACACACTACACACATAGAAGCTCCCTCACACCACATATAAGAATGGTGATCCTGAAAGAAGTCATACAAATAGTATGCATGAAAAACATGTAGTATTTCTTCATCTTTATTATGTGACTGATTATGATTTTAAAATCAAGCCTGTCGTTTGTGAGGTTGGTAGTCCACCCACAGCCCACAGCACCAGTTAGGTTCCTAAAGGGCCCTCAGATTGCTACTCGCTCATAGCAGCCCTGTACAATGGGATAGGACTGCTGCTGTTGGCTTTCTGAGACTCACTTTTAACGGGAGTAGAAAGCCTCATTTTTCTCCTGTGTGGGTTTTATACCTCAAGCTCACAAAACTCACTGCCATCAAGTCATTTCTGACTCATGGTGACCCTATAGGACACAGTAGAACTGCCGTCTGGGTTTCTGAAAATGTAAATCTTTACAGTAGTAGAGAGCCAATTTATTCTTTGTGGGGAGGCTGGTGGCTTAGAACTGCTGACCTTGTAGTCTGCAGCTCAATGTATAAGTACTATGCCACCCAGGCTCAAGAACGCATCAATATCAGCTAACCTCACATGCCTCGCTAAAGAGAAGCAGTTCCATCCCTCACATTCGGGATGAGTTAATTAAATGTTAGACCAGTGTGGTCTGCAACAACAGGAATAACTTACTGTTAAAACTTTGTTTTTCTTGTGGGTTTCTTAAAGTACCTTTTTAGGAGTACTGTATATACTTGTATATAAGCTGAGTTTTCCAGCACATTTTTGATGCAGTTTTTGTGGTAAAATTAGCTCCCTAGGCTAATATTTGGGTCGGCTTATACTCAAGTATATATGGTAGTTTTATTTGCTTTGTATGGCATCTCATGCTTTCTACAAGTCAGAGAGCTTAAATAAAGTTATCTTACGTTTGTAATACTATATTCTGGTAGTTGATATTTATACTTTAGAATTACTGAGATAATTCTCAAATATGTTTTTTAACTGTAAAAGTTTGTTAATTTTAGTGAATTTTATATATATTTCATATTGTGTTAGGGATGTTATATTGTTAGTTAACTTAGTTATACAACTGTAACCCTACATTAGTAATTGTAATTATTCTATTAAAATATTTTGCAGTTCTCAGATCACTAAGTTTCTAGTTATAGGATGCCCTTGTCTAATTTTTGTGGATTAATTTGGGACATATCTTAATTATGAAAAAATTTTTAATTGACATCTTTAAAATAGCCTATTTATACAAAATAAATGAAATGTTTTCTTGTTCTATACTTCTAGATTGAGCTCTGAAAAGGAAGTTAGCTGTTAATCTCTCATTTTTTAAAATTTTGGAATACTAATTAATGATAAGGCACATGCCTGAATGTGGAAGACTTATGAATATTTAAATATATTTGTGAACAAACAAACTGACATTTAGCATATTTTTAAATATTTGTGAAATGCTTTGAAAACAGTAAAATTTAACAAAATATAAAGTTCTGCTATTGCGTTGATGATTTGTGTACTGAATTTCCTTGTGATTTAATTGAGATTTACTATTTAATTTAAAATCAGAAAGAAAAATTCCTGTGATTGCCACTTGTGATTTTTCTCTTATTTCTTGAACTCTGATTTTATTGAACTTCTTTAAGTGAATGATCCTAGAATAAGTGCCCACGCACTCAATACTGTCATCAATTTTAATTCCTAGGGAGCCTATAGGCCCTTTTGGGGGTTGAATGACCCTTTCATAGGGGTCGCTTAAGACCATCTGAAAACACATAAATATTTCACAATATATAATTACATACTGTTTTGTGATTATTCACTATGCTTTAAATATGTTTAATTATGTTCAGTTTGTAACACTGAAAATACATCCTGCATATCAGATATTTACATGACCATTCATAACAGTTGCAAACTTACAGTTATGAAGTAGCAACGAAATAATTTTATGGTTGGGAGTCACCATAACATGAGGAACTGTATTAAAGGGTCATGGCATTAGGAAGGTTAAGAACCACTGCTATAGACAGAATAGAATTGTCCTACAGGATTTCCACAGGAGCCCTGGTGTTACAGTGGGTTATGTGTTAGGCTGCAACCTACAAGATCAGCTGTTTAGATTTATCAAACACTGACCAGAAAGTTGAAGCTGTCTGCCGCCATAAAAATTTACTGTCTCATACTGTCTTATGGGTTCAAAGTACGAAGAAGTTTGTTTTGGAAATGTTGATGGCAACATATGTATTGGATGCATTGTTAAAAGATTTGTAAGAGCCCCCCAATAAAATGAATAATTAAAAACAAAATTTACTGTTTCAGAAACCTAAAGAGCAGTTCTATTCAATCCTACAGGGTTACTGAGTTAGAATTGACTTGCTGGCAGTGAATTATAAGATTTCCAAGCCTGCAAATCTGTATAGAAAAAGCCTGTTACATATTTTTCCCATAGAGTGGTTGGTGGATTTGACTCTTCAACCTTTCAGTTTAGAGTTATGCTCTTTAACCACTGTGCCACTAGGGCCCTTTAGATCCTGTAGCCAAACCCAAACCACTGCTATTAAGTTGATACTGTTCAGAATATTGAAAGTTTTCTCTGTGCTTGGCTACATTGTCACTTACATAATTTCAAAAACTGTTCAAGGTGTTTCTGTATTTCTGTAGAAAAAAATGTTAATTGAACGAGTAAACACACTGCCCTTGAGTAGATTGAAATTCAAAGTAATGCTATAGGACAGAGTAGAACTGTTTCCCAATCTGTAATTTTCATAGAAGTAGACAGTCTTATCTTTCTCCCTCAAAGTGACTGGTGGGTTTGAACTGCCGATCTTTTGCAGTTCTCAGCTCTATGTTTATTATGAATGAACGTTTGATAAATACCTTAATGCAATAAATGTAGCTACTGGTAATATTAACACATTTTATGTAATTGTTAAGGGAATGAAGCCATTTCACATTACCATCTCAGTTATTCTTCAGAACCATTTTGTGAGATAAGTACGGTAGGTCCTCGTGCGATAGATGAGTTACCACCCCTGAAGGTGACATGTTTGCTTAGTGAAGACATGGAACCAGAACTTGAACTTTAGCTCTAAATAGCCTACTGTTTCTTTTGCACAACATAAACTATAATACGGAAGTGATAAAGTCTCAGGGATTATATGTACAATTTATTGTTTAAAGAAATTCTAAAAATTTGAAAAGGGTGGACAAGTTCCTCTTTCCTGCTTTGGTCAGATGAGTTGTAGTGAGGCCACACGTGTTACCAGTAACTGCTGCGTCAAGTTTATCGGCTGTAATCTTTAAGGTTGCAAATTGCTAGGTCTGTTCTCCCAGGGATCCTCTGTATGGGTTCAAACTGCCTTTCTGTTAGTTAGCAGCTAATGCTTAACCTTGTCACTGGGGCTCCATCACCTTGTCTGGTCTTCTGAATTATTCAGTGCTTACTGATCTTTAGGAATCTGAGGTACTGCTACTTTTAACAACTTAGATGGATAAAGGATTTATTCTCGGCATGGCTACCAGTGTGTACTACCTAAGGTTACTTGCATTTTAAAATGTTTCAAACAGTAGTGATCAAGATTTATCAACACATTGAACTATATAAAATTTAAAAATCTGTTGTATGATATGATACAGTCTAAAGTAGTGAAAAACGTTGGTTTATTCTTAGTCCTGGATTGTTTAGTTCTGATTCTGTTCTCTGGATAAGTCACTTGATAGCTCTGAGCCTTGGTTCCTTCATCTGGGAAAAGGGTAAAATGATACCTGCTGCTCTACCATTATGAAAACTGATGATGATTGTGATAATCATGAAAACACAGTAATGACTGATACTTATGTGGTTCTTAACATATGGTAAAGCCCTGTGTAGGGCTGTACGAAAAGCCATAGATGTTACGAGTTGGACTGCTAACTAGAGGGTCAGCAGTTCAAAACCACCAGCTGCTCCAAAGGAGCTACCCTATTCTAAAAGGGTCACTATGAGTTGGAATTGACTTGATAGCAGTGACTTAGAGGTTTCAAGTGTTTTGCATGTATTAATCCTTTTAATCA